ATATATATATATATGCATATATATGCATATATGCATATATATGCATATATGCATATATGCATATGTAACTAAGGAGAAACACCAGGACCAGCATTTGATATTTGATTTTTGATGTTTTTTATATATTCAAAATATAGCTTTTTGGTATAACTTATGCACATAATGCATAAAGGAGTAGGTTTACTGTAATGTATTTGCTTTGAGCTATATGACTTTGGTCCTGGAGATACAGCAGAGATGTGTGATAAATAACAGGTGCCTCATTTCATTTTGTAACCAGCAAAACTAACAAATTGTCAAAAACCATTTTAATCCCTGCAAAGTCTGTAGAGCCAGTCAACAAGTGACATAATTATTTGTCATTAAAAATAGAGGGAAAAAAACATATTTGGCCATTGTGGTAATGAGCCCAAAGATAACACGCACCCACCCCCCAAAACAAAACAAAAAACAACGACAAAAAACCCACCAAAACAAAATGAAATTAAATTTGTATTTATTATTTTAATTGCTTGAAGCTTGAATAATTTGAAATATAATTTATCCTAAATGTTTGAAAGCTTCTTTCATGATTTCACCATCAGTCCTTGACATTACCCTTTGCTTTTCATTGAAAAACCCGGGGATCTCATTTGGATGAGGTATGGCATGTTCCCCGACCTTGCCATTTCCAATAGACGCTCCTCGCCGTCTACCAAACCAACAGGTGACAAGTGTGCTCAGACTTTACGCATGGAGAGCGCAGGGAGAGTCTGGGAGCACGCATGGGGGTCCCTCCCTTCCAGGCTGCCCGTGGCCTCCTCACCCCGGCGGGCACTTCCAAGACTCTGCCAGGCCCCCTTGATCCCCTATTTCCCCCTCTCTACCTTTCCTCTGAAGAAACTACCCGGCGTTACGTCAGAAAGTGCAGGACAAGCAAGACAGCGTCTTATGAGCTATTCGCAGGCATTGCTGCCAAACCCTACTTGAGGCTGCCTAAGAGCTCACTGCACCCAATGCTATTTACAAATCCAATCCTTTTAAAACATCAGCAGTATGTGGTAAGTCCGTTATTCATTCATATCATTTTATTTCTGCGCTGGGCTTTTTTTTTTCTCACAGCTTTCCTCACATGACAGGTCTCTGTTGCCGGCACAATTGCGCAAAAACCCAAAACAGCAGTGTAAACCGTGTAATGATAAAGAGTAGAATGGTTCACACTGTAGCTTCACTGAAAACACCATGACATGATGAAGCAACAGATGATTTTGACGCTCAGAGATTTCTGCAGCATTTTTACTCTTTGACTCTTTGCTGATCTCAAAAACAACATGCCCCACGCTCGAAATAGGAACCCTAGCCCCATCCCAGAGGTAACATGGGATACGGGATTGAAGGAGATGAACGAGACCTGGAAAGGAGCGATAGCCTGTCTCGGGGTTGCCGTCTTCTTCGTAATGACCATCGGGATCATATACTGGCAAGTGGTGGACCAGCCCAACAAAAACTGGATCCTTAGGGGAACTTTCAGCGGACTGATTTGGGAGAGAAAAACCCACTCGCTGCTCATACAGACCCTGACTGAGGATAAGACCTACGTGGAAATTGACGTCGGGAACGTAGGGAACCCCGATATAGAGATTCCCTTCGTGAGGAACCTGTGCTGGCTCAATAAAACCGAGTTCTGCTATACCTGGGACTCGGTGGCCGAGGTGAAGATCTCGCTCGAAGCGAATGAGGATACGGAGACGGAGTGTTACAGCATGACTTGGGCACCGGTACACTGTCATGTGGAGCTGAAGGTAATGTTTCTCTTTATGTGCACACGAAATACACAAATCACAGCAAAATGTGGAGTGCAAACCCAGTTTTGCACTTTCTTCAGGCTAGGAACATTAATGTCCCCCTTTGTAGTTTGTAGTTTGCCTTGCTTTGATAACAGCCTATTTCTGGCTGCAACAATTTATAAGCAGGTCCCTTTGCAAAGTAATATAAGGCAGTTTCTCCGTCAAATATTATAGAATAAGAACTTTAAAAGTATATATTTTATATCAATAATCAAGAAGAAAAAATGTATTTCACTCACAATCTGTTTATATAACTTATTAACGGAAAAGAGAAGCTTTCAAAATGGTAGAAATCTCCTTTTAGAAAAAGTTAAATGTGTTTCTTGCGGCATACGTGATTATCGTTTTCAAAAAACCGGATAAATGTTTTAAATTTGTATAAATGTTTTTAAATTTAACTGGATTTTTATATTGATCTCCAGTGTATGGCCACGGAATTATGTTAAACTACGTGAAACAAACATGTGCACATACAGTGTTCTTTTCCTCCATTTTAAAATGTATTTATCTGCATATTTGTCACACTTGGTACTTGTTTCAGATAATCAAGCTAGTTTTACAATTTCACATATTTTAGACAAAGATAACATGAATAAATGCAAAATACAGTTTAAAATGATGGTTTTATTTATTAAGCACAAAAAAGGTGTGGCAAATAACAGTTGTTCAAACCTACCTGGCCTTATGTGAAAAAGTAATTGCCCCCTAAACCTAATAACTGCTTGTATCACCCTTGGCAGCAAGAACTCCAATCCATTGTTTGTGATAAGTCTTAGTCGTCCTAGTAGTCTTGGCCCACTCTTCTGGACAGAATTGTTTTAATTCAGCAACATTGAAGAGTTTTTGAGCATAATTGACTTTTCAAGGTCACGCCAAAGTGTCTCACTCTGATTAAAGTCCAGACTTTGACTAGGTCACTCCAAAACCTTAATTTTTTTTTGTTTTTTGTAGTCATTTGAAGGTGGATTTGCTTGTGTATTTTGGATCATTCTGTGCTTGAGCCTCAGTGAATAGCCGGACAGTCTCCTTCAGGATTTTCTGGTAGAGATTTTCTAGGAAAAAGCAGAATTCAAGGTTCCATCAATAACTGCAAGTCGTCCAGGTCCTAAAGCAGCAAAACAGACCCTCATGATCATGTTTGACTCTTGATAGGATGTTCTTTTAGTGAAATACTCTGCTATTTTCAAGCCACATGTAACGGGACGCAAACTTTGCAAAAAGCATTTGTCACATCAGTTCACAGAATGTTTTTCCCAAAATTTTGGGGATTGCCAAAATGTTTTTTTTTTGCAAATGCAAGATGAGTCTTTTTGTTCTTTTTGGTCAGCGGTGGTTTTCATTTTGGAGCTCTCCATTGGATGCCATTTTTGTCTAATCTCTTTCTTATTGCTGAATAATGAACACTGACCTTAACTGAGGCAAGTTAGATGCTATTCTGGGTTCTTTTGTGATCTCCAGGATGAGTTGTCAGTGCACTCTCATCGTAATTTTGGTAGACCTGTCTCTTCTTCAAGTTTTCTCCATTTGTGGATAATGTCTCATTCTGTGGGACTAGAGTTAGAGTAAGAGGGTCTTGTTTGTCTAATATTAATTTTTTGGGATAATCTGAAACATAAGTGTGACAAATAGACAATAAAGAAAGAAAGAAATCAGAAAGGGGACAAAAAATTTTGTCAAATCGTTGTAGGTGACTTGTTATGCTTCATTCCTGTCTCTTTCTAAAGCCATTTAATTAACTACACTGAGTGAAGTACTTACTGTACTTTCCCCTGCCTTAATCGTCAGAGGCATTTAACTGTTGCAAAGTTTGGGTAGGTTAATCTGTCCCCACTGGAACATTCCTCGACTTAACTCCCTGTCATGTGGTGTGACTGCTCACAGAAAATCTTCTAAACCAAAGTCACATTTATTTTCATAATTTCCAAAAATCCTGCCCAGAGCCTCTCAGGTGACTACTTGGCACCTGTTTTGAAACTGCTTAATGGAGCCCAGATTTGCTGACGTGAAAAAATAAACTTAAGTTCTGCGTATTTGTCTCTTGAAGACAGAAGGGGAAGCATTTGTTTAAAAAATAAAATAAAATTCTCTGACGCTCAATCCATGCATTTTATTCACTGATATACCAGATGCAACCTTAACTGACATCCAGTCAAAAAACTGTTAATACAATGCTTTTATGAATAATGTTATTACATTTGTAGCTGTTTAAATTAAAGTAAAATCCTAATTTGAGAACAGAAATGAAATTTATTATGGACTGTAAGTCTCCTAAAATATTTAGATGCTCTTAAATAATTTGTTCTTGAGAGTTGCTGCCCTAATGCATCAACTGCTGTACTTATAATTTCCTTATATTTACCACAGAACAGTGATGACAACCAAAAGCTTTCTGTTCTATTCTCTTTTCTTTTCTTATTATTTTGTCAAATACTGGCAAAATGTTGGTGCCCTTTAGTGAGGTTTTAAAACCAAAAGAAATTTTTTACCCTCTCCTCACAAACATTACTCTTTCCATACTTAATTCAGCTACTATTTTAATAATATATGGCTTTTTATAAAGTTAATTGAATTAGTTAATCACTGTTTTATTTTTTATTTTTTCTTGTTTGCAAACATTTCTCTCTGGTTTTCTTTCCCTTTTCCCTTTAATGTGTGATTGCATGTATATTTGCACATGCATGTCTTTATTCAGGACTGCTTCTCCATGGCCAACATATCCTGGTACGGGGGTGCCAGTGTTCGGGGTCAGACTTGGCCGATCAACGATCAGAACGCCACGATGCAGCCCTTCATCGTCAGTGATCTGAAGGACAATCCCTCTGGGTTCGGCTCTGCCCTGGAGCGCTACTTCCTTGGCTCATCGGGTAAGAGGTCACTGATGGGATTTGCTCTCGATCTCATCGTTAGAAATGGATTTAGAAATCTTCTCCACGGCTATGTTATTACAAGAAAAAAGATCTCCTCGGTAAGGATGTTGGCAGTTTGCCACGCTTGCTATTGGTGCAGCGTTAGAACAAGAACAAGGACTCTTGAAACTTGATCCCACATGAGTGGTAATACCATGTGTGGCGTGAATCCCAGGGCGCGAGGGAAGCCCTGTGGATGTTGTTGTGTTGTCCTACCCTTTTCAGCCCCTCATGTAAGCATTTATGCTTTAGCTGGCAAAAATGGTACTAAAGCAGCGTCCCTAAAACACACACAACATACTAGATAAGTTGGCTTCGCCACATAGATAGTGTAACACGATGCTGGCTGTGGCATGTCAGTTTATTAATTCAGAGATTAGAGTACAAAGGCAATCAAGCCACCTGTAGCATCTTAAATTAACTCTTAGGAATACCAGAGTAATTGTCTTTTGTTTCTATTAAAAGAGCAGGTTGGATGGAGGCCCTGCTGACTCTTATAACTCACCAGGTTATTTTGAGGGTGTTAGATTTTATCCTCGGGGGTAAAGGGGGGAGAGGCAGGGGCTGTTAGCGGATGTGAATGGTTAATATGACTGATGAAGAATGTCTGCAGAGAGTGTGTGCATGTGCGTTTACACAAATCTCATGGACTATGGAGATTCAATTTGTCTTTGTGTTGGGTTGGTTTCTGAGCTACTGCTTAAATAAACTAATCTTTGTTCCTATCGAATTTCGATATCAATCTGAGATCATGATTATTATTATTAGCACACTGACATTGTTCAAAAAATCTTTAATATTCACATATTCTCATTTCTACATGCAGGCCTTAGGTGTAGGGCCTTAAGTGAATATCTTTGAGCTCTGTAAATGGTTTAGGATTTAGCTGTGAGTAACTACAAAACTCAAATAACCTGCCACAGGGAACGCAGTGACATCACCCAATAAGGCGACACAAATAATCATCGACTTCACTGATTGTTAGCATTAGCTTCACTCACAGTCATTTACATGCTGATGGAACCGCATGCAACCGCATATACACACATATATCTTCTGCTATGTTATGTAACAGTGACAGGCTTTGCCTGAGAGTCACATGACTTAAATCCCTTTTCCACCTTGTGAAAGGATGCCAGTAATTATTAGGACCCCCGTAACCCTTTGTTTATCTGCTTAGCTTTCCACAGAGAGAAAAACACACATGCACACACATGCAGCCAGAGATAGCATGAGATCCCAATGAGATCAACTGTTTATTTGTTGCCAAGTAACCTCTCACAGATACATAGCCCCAAACATAGCAAACTGATGCTCAGCAATGACAATGATGCCTGTTGGAGCATTAAAGGTATATTTAACATGATATCCTGCTTTAAAGTTCAAGGATGTCTTTGTTTGGCTCCAGGATTTGCATAATGTGCACATTAGGCCCGAGAGAAAATGTTTTTCCATGATCAAAGACATTTTCCAAGCATTTCAACACTTCTCACTTTGCTTTCAGATATTGGACACCAGTCCAACAGATCACAAGAACATAAGTTTCATGTATTTTCCTCATTTGCTAACAACATAATCAGTCTGATGTGTGACAAACTAGTAGCTTCTCGGTCCATTTAGTTAAAGAAGTAATTTGTGTAACCTACAGAACATTTCATCACCAACAAGGGCTTTAACCTTCGGACTTGTGTGGTCCTGTGCTGCAAGTAGAAAGGTTACACCTGCTTAAACTGCACGAAAGAGCTGTTCACTCCGGTGTAAACTTGGTACATTTGTGAATTAGCAGCCACTTTTACAAAAGGCATACAAGACAGAGTTTCAGAGGCAGTCCAGTGATGTACTGTGTTTTACTGTCAGAACTGACAGCAAATGGACACCTTCTCAGACCACATCATGTCACATGCCAGACAAATCAATCCATCCATCCATCCATCCATCCATCCATCCAGCCAGCCAGACATTCATTTTTTTCTAGTAATGGAATTCAGGGTCGCGGGGGGTTGGAGCCGATCCCAGCTGTCATAGGGCAAGAGGTGGGGTACACCAAGGAAGGATCAAAAGTCAGTTGCAGGGCTATCACAGAGAGACAGGCATTCATTCACATTCACACTTGTGCCAATTTAGAGTCGCCAACCAACTCATCTTGCATGTCTTTGGACTTTTGGAGGAAGCCAGAGTACACAGAGTACACACAATGAGAACATGCACACTCCACACAGAAAGAAGAGGAATGGAGTTAATATCCAGTTATGGTTTAATTCCAGAGTAGTTTGCATACTCTATTAGTATCTACCCTTTATTTGCATGACCCCTGTTATAGTCTCTCTACATGTTGAATTTACATTTATATTTTGTACAAAAATATTGCATTTTACATGCATCAAAATGAATTTGTGCTCATTTTGCTGCTCCGGGCAAAATAACAACACTTTATTCTCATCTGTATAGAAAGAGCATTTTGTCAGTCTTCATTAGCTGCGTTTATCTTCCTTATCTGCCCAGCAGCTCAGTCCAAAGAACCACATGATATCTCAGATTAAAATCCAATGTGATTATGACTGTGAACTAGGTTATTATAGTTAACCAAAACCAAAGTAAAAGCGTGGAAAAACATTCCAGTTAACTAAAATGGAACTAAAAAGCCAGGCTAAGTGTAAACGTCTGATACATTAATCAAAGAATATAGAGATAAATTCAAATGCAAAGGTTTTGGGATGACTACATTAATAGAATCTGCTGCTTTAACATTATTATGGCTGTAATGTCACGTGTATTCCAGTGTTATTGAAGTCGAGACACTGACAAATACCTGTCATACTATTAAAAAATAAGCAAACTCAGCTTGGAAGCCAGAACTGAACTATAAATGAAATGCAAATTTAAAAAAACTATGGAAAATTCAGCTATAAATCTTATAATGTGTTTGAGTCATAACTGCTTCATTTTTATGGATAATAGTATTGGGACAGGAAACAATTACAGAAGTTTTTGTGGCAAAGAAAATCCACATTCATGTGTGGATATCATTATAGAGATTTGTGAGGTTACACAACCGTGTGAAAGTTTAATTAGAAAAGTGATTTGTTCCTGCTTTTTTTCTCTTTTTTTGCACTTAATCAAGTCTAATTGAATGCAGATGGAAAAATACTTACAGAAATATAGAGAAGAAATTATATCATATATCACTGGCATGCACAGCTCCTCACCCCTTTCCAAGTGCTAACAGTTTCTTCTCAAGAAAAGTTGCTTTTAAATCCAGCTGTCTCCACCAACACTCAGCAAACCGTGATTAGGATAGTGCTTCTCAATAGGAGTTAGCTGCATGCACACAGCACCGTATGCAGTCATAGACACACAGTACACACTGTTCATGTGTATTTGAAATGCAGCGATATGTCTGCGCCAATAAATGTGTATTGTAATGTGTATTAAAACAAGAACTCCAGTGTTGTTTTTCCTTAAAAAAAAAAAGGAGATTTTGGGAAGGCAGTATTCCAATAGTAATTTTTTTAAAAAGTAAAACAATCGCCACATGTCTTTACTTTTGGTTAATATTATTTCTTATTAATGGACTGACAACACTTTCATCTGAGCTGTCTTCATAAATCTGCTTTGGAGGAACAAACATACAGTTAATGCAGTTTTAACATAACATTAGGCTTCACAGCTGTTTGAACCCGCTGACCGTTGCAAGTGGCCTGTCTACACTGACTCTAGTTAGTCATAGCTAGAGTTATAAATGTTGTGGGCAGTATAGAGCTGTGGCTGACATTAAAAACTTAAGAGGACTCCTGGGGATAGTTAAAGACCATGGCAGACAGATTGAAATATTTGTGATAACAGAGCATATATGTATGGTAATTGGTCATATTAAACAGAGAATCAAGAAGAGAGGTAAAGAGTAGCGAAGTAAAGCCAAGGTGGAGAACCTGGATGAAAGAGATACAGCATGCCACCATGCAGCAGAGTGACATTTGAGAGCGTTTCCAACTGGAGGAACTTATCACAGCCACACCTGTTTTTATCCATTCAAAAACACAACTGGACTAGTAGCTATTAGCAAAGTAGCATCCTAGATCACATGCATTATAATGGCATATTAAAAGGGCTACAGCTAGAGGTCCAAAGGCTTGACATGGGAATACTGCATGTGTTCAAAAAGATTGTTATTGTGTGCTGCCTGTGGGCTTAAAACAATACTAAGTAGACAAACCAGTAACAGATGAAAACTGTCTCTTTATTTGTCTCCTAAAATAACAAACAAAATGAAATAGATTATAATATAATGAGATCTTTAGCAGTAATGGGAATACAAGCGGCGGAAACAATTATTTGAAACACATTGATTTGAAAGCAAAGTAGCCATTTTTGTCCCGTGTGTGACTAATTAACACGGCAGGATTTATGTGTAAAATAATTGTTGGATGTTGGCACACAAGCGAGAGGTGAATTATTTGCCAGAAATTCTATTCTCATATATAAAAGACTTAATTTTTCCATGGCCTGTATCCAAATGCTTTGTACTGAGCTGAAGTTTGGCTTTCATCGTGAGTTTCCAACTTGTTATTACAAACGAAAGTTCAGAGCAAACCTGTTAGTTTTTTAAAAATGTGATTGTGTAACTACTTTAAATGTCCCCCTCCTGTTGTGCTCAGCCAGCCAGTAATGAATCTAGTTTTTCTTAATAGATTTTTTTTTCACGAAGAGAAACACACAGAACACGCTTTCTCCAAGATTCCTCGCAACAACTTTACAACAACTCTTTAAGATATTACACCACTTCCTCCACATGCACACGTGACTTCTGTCTCTAATATAACGGAGCTTTATGTTGACAAGGGATAGAACAGTTAAAGCTAAAACATGTTTCCATTACTCAGTTTCATGGAAAGCAATAGAAGAGGAAGGAAGGAAACCACAAAAGAAAAACAGATAATTATCAAAAAAATTTAATGTTGTTCAGCAATCTGAATGCAAGGTATCCAAGCTATAAGCTTTTTACAAATGTTTTGGAGATGCAAAGACTAAATACACTCGCTTTCTCCTAACCAGTAATTGAAAGCGCAAATAAGGCTTACGGAGTACCAAAGAGTAAGAAATCAGAAAAGAAATCAGAAAAGAAATCTAGCTCTCTTAACTGTGTTCTTAATTTTTACTAAATATCTTCTCGTTGGAAATGTTTTAAAGATGATTTTCTTATTGGTTTTTAAACCAATCCGAGATCAAGATGCCAAACGTAGGACACTGCTCCAAAACACTCATCTGCGTTGCTCAATAGGTCACGACGAGGTCCCTGGGCAGCTGCCCCGAAACCTCGGCACTCCCGCAAAGTAAGATGTGAAACACTTCAAGAATGACACCGTTAGCCAGCTGAAGCTTTGTTAAAAGCAAGCTGTCATCTCCTGTATGAGAGAACTACTGAATGAAAATCACCCCACAACATTTTCCACAGTTGACCTCTTATACTTTCCGTGAAGGACAACAGGCAAGAAACAGAAGAAAGACTTTTTAAAGGGTGTAACAACGGGACAGCTTCTGTACTCTTCATATAGACACGTAACTTGTCTGTGGTTGCTCAGGTCATTTCCCTTTCCTTACTTTAACCCTGAGCTTTAGTGAAATCTTTGTTCAAGTGAGAATGTCAGAATATGAGTTTAAACGGTTTGCTAACGTCACCACTGAAGCCAAACAAAAAGTATTATATCAGCTCTCGCAGTTTTTAGAGTTTGTCTAATCCAATCTGCTGGTAGTGAAAAGGACACATCTGTAATGTTTGTACAGAACACAGTGTCTCACCCTTGAAACAATAAAACTGATTGATGATAGGAGTAGAGCAGAGAGAGCCTCTTTAGTGTTTCATTATTTCTTCAATAAGTGGGATTGGAAATTTACTACAATGGCAATGTCCCAGTTTTGTGGCCATCAATTTCTTGAGGTTGGGCACAAAAACGAAATTTCCATTGTTAAAGAAGTACATGCCAAACACACACAAACTCGCACACACAGGGTTAGTGTTTGAATGCACATTTTTTTAACCCCTAGTCAGGTCTGTAAGTTTGCACGGTTGTCAGAAAGAACAGTAAAACTATGACAGGTAAAAGAGTGCAGTTCATCTGGTCCACAGCAGCAGGAGTCATAGAGTAGCATTTTCCTTCAGACCAGCACTCTCAAGGATCCTAGGCACCACATTAAAACCTTACCGACCCTGGTGAAGGTGCACAGGGTCTGCTACCACCTACAGATGTTGAGGTCAGACTGAGTGAAAGTGAGCAAAGAGTCTTTATGGTCCTATAAGCTCAGCACTGTTTTTCTTGGAAAGCAGCAGTTGCATGCACTCAAGGTGTGCATGAGAGACGTGTACGTGAAAATTCATGTATGTCCACATATATCTGATGGTTGTTTGATTTGCGTGTCAACAGCTACAAAACTGAGAAACGTCAATCAGATCTGTACAGCAAACGTGTGTAATCTTTAAATTAACGAGAGGCGAGGCGAGAGCATATTTTCCACCAGTCACAAAATGTCACTTTTTGAGAGCTAGTAAAAAAGAAAAAAGAAAATGTATTGAATTTTGGGGAATTTTTAAGAAGCTGCTTTAAAAATCTCCCTCACCTCCTGGGTACACCACTATGGGAGCAACTTAAGGCTTCAAATCTTGTTCATTTTCTTTAAAATGATCATAAATCCTGCTAGCATACGTTGCGTCTTATAGAGCGTAATAAATAAACAGGATTAGAATGGTTTGGGTGGGGGGTTGTTTTTAAATGAGAAGCTCCCTGACAGGAAAAAAGGCACACCAGTGCGTTCATAGTGTTTTGAGTAAGATTTTATAAACAGACGACAGGATTTGGTATACTTAACTTTCAAAAATGCACGTTTAATCCGAGATGGAATAACAGGTACAGCAGTTTAGGATCAGTTTGTCTCATTTCCTTGAGGCTCTGCAGTGTCATTTCCAACGAAAATTAATTATGACTTGAGAAGGCAAATTCAACTCCATTTTCCACTCTGTATGCACTTTAGTAAAAGCCACTGTTTGCAGCTTCAGCAGCACATTAGTCTACGAGGCTTCTTGCTGTCTGGTGTAGTCCTTTTGCGTATGTTTCCACTACTTTCTTTCCACTTCCATCCTTCTATAAATCTTTATAATTTTCTCTGCAAACCACATCATACACCACCATACTCTTTCAAAGCACCTTTGCCTTATCAACTTTCTTCTATCGCGTCCATTCAACTCCTTTGTTATTGAAAATATTTCTGTATGTCAGAAATACATAAAATTAAATGTTTATCATAAATATTTCCTAAATAAAATCTGCATTTATCTGCCATTTATAAATTTGTAACAAACACGTGGATGTTGACCTAATACCTTGTGAGAGGCAGCTGAGGTGTTACCAGTATCTCTTTGACATTATCCATTGCAAACGCGTGGGAATTACCCTGAGGCTGAAGGCTCCTCACAAGGCTTTTAAATACTGATCTCTGAAACTATTAATCTGATTATAAACTGGTACACGAGTATCCCGCCTGCTCCTGGTCCCTGCTTCCATGAGAACAGTAAGCCCACTGAAACTAGAGAGAGCAGCTGAAATGAGCCAAGGTCTCACCAGTTTCTCAGACTGTCTAATCTGTTCATTGATTGGTCACAAATCTTAAACCCCAGTTTGGTTACTTTGAGCAGCTTTTGCAAAATCTCAATACGAGGTCAGGGTCTGTGTTAATGGCTCAGTTTATTAGATGGGACAGAAACATAGCCAAGCAGAGCACAGAGGAACTGAAGGTTGTTAAAGCTGGGAGGGAGAAGGTGGGAGTCAGGTTAGGGGAGAAGTGGTTAGGGTTAGGGTAACCTGAGATGAATGGGGCATTCCTTCCAGGGCAACTACATCTGCAGATACAATTTTCAGCTACACATAATCTTGTCATTATGCAAGCCATCTGATGGACTGTATGTGCATGCAGTAGCAGAAATCTAAAGAGGCCCCCTTAACTGCAAGGTTTTAGAAGGATAAAGTAGACAAAAATCATCTTCAAATCTTCAATATTTCTGGTAAGTTTTGTTATTCGGAGAGGGAACATGCACGGGACATTCAATGCTCGTGTTTGCCCAGAAGCAAGCATAATGGACAAATAAAAAATGTTTCTAACCCTGCCCTCAGTGTTACTTTCCAGGCTACCTGAATCTCATTTCACTGGTCTGCAGTGTAACCTACCTACTTAGAACTTGCCAGTAGTTTCAGGGTAAGCTCATCCAACTGTGTGCTGCTATATCTCATTCTGGGGAGTGTTTTTCTTACATCTGAGTGGAGCAATATCAGCTGACACAGGCTGCACTCTACCTCCCACAACACTCCATCCGTCATACTCATACTGGTCTCAGTAACACTCATGCACTATGTCATATAAGTGGAATTTGCAATGGACTGTCTTATTTGCGCTGATCTCTGCCTCTTTAAATCATAACTGTTTGAATTACCTGACTTTTCCTTCGCATGAGTGTATGACCTAGACTGTGACTTTATATTGCAGCTGTTTATCTGACTCCTTAAAGCAAGGTTTCATCCACAAGCATAATGTAAGCTAATGACCGACGCCCATTCCTGTGTGCTTCCTACCATGCAGGTGTCGCAGTGCTTGTATCTCCTGACATCCCCCTGCAGCTCGGGCTGGACAGCAGACAGCAGTTCTGCCTACAGTCACTTCCAAGTATGGAGCGACTCCCTCTGCAGTACACTGTGTGTGTGGCCCACAATGTAAAAGCTGCTCACCAGGAAGCAGTGCAACAGCTCTCGGAGCACAGCAGGGAGCTGCCCAACATGAAAGCACTGCGGTTAGTTCAGTTTAGATTTAGATTAGACCAGATGTAAATTTCACTCTGCTTCACTTCTGGTTATTATAACAGCGGTGCACTGGTGTGGTTGGTGAGCACCGATTGAAACTTTAGTCTCGCGAGCCAACTGTGATTAACTGTTCCAGTCTGATTCCTGTGTGTGTGCCGCAGGCTGCCATTCTGGAAGCTGCTCGCCAACATGGACTCAGGGCCGAAGGTGGAGCGGGAGATGAGGACTTTCTCGAATCGTCTGAAGAGACACCAGCTTGGGGAGGGAGTCATCAGCCTCAATGAACATTCCACCACCCTCCTTTCTGATATGGTACATGATGCAGACACACACTGACTACTGAACTGTGCTGTGTCTTCTCCCAGCCTTTAAAGGCTGTGACAGAGTTAAGTTTTCATTATGAAAATATTCTGCTATGGCAAACCCAATCTGGGTCGGATAAAAATCCCACTGGTTAAACCGTTTAAATGAAATAAAAAATAAAATTAACCCACCAACAGATTTAACAAATAGTGGATAAGGATTGGTAACACACTCAGTGTCTTGACAGTTTTTGTATGGCAGGTGTGAGCTCTCATATTCATTCATTCATTTGTTCATTTTCAGGCACAACAAATACCTATATATTAATAAATAGATTATAAAAAGTCAGCACTGCATCGTAAAAGGTTGCTGTTTTCAGCATTTTCGAATGCAACCTTTGCTTTATCGCACTGAAGTGGACATTCCTGGTGGATTGGGCCACCTGCTGCGGTGCTGCTGCCATTTGCCATTGCAGGTATCAAATGATGGAGATAGAAATTTTGCGGATGCAGGCATCAGCTGTATTTAGCTTAAATTTTTTTATTTAAACATTACAAATATAGTGTGTTGACATTATAACTGGCTGCAGGGGCCATGCTTTATGTTCAATTCTACTAGTCTGTTGATACGAGGTCTTGAAATGAGAAGCCAGTTCATGGAGTTTCTATTTTCAGTAGAAGCTCTCTTCTTTTACTAAGCCTAGAAAAGTTTATGTTAACCCAGTGACTAGAATTACGATGTGTATATTATTCTTTTTTCATTCGTCTTCATTTCTTCCGCTGCATAGCTGCAGATTTTTATAATTCACTGCTTCAACCACAGAGGTTGCGTCAAGTTGTGTGGAGGCGACGAAGGAGGAACCCAAACGCAGGACTCGCAGGTAGGTGAAGCCTGGTGGTTTATTATGATGAGCGGATGAAACAGGACATGCAACGGAGGGCTGACTGAACTGAGATAGCTGGCTGAACTGAAATGACTGAACTGGCTGGATTGGAAACACGGACAGCGTACACAACATCAACGACATGACAAAGAACTGGTGGAACCGAGGAACTTAAATACACAGGTTGAATGATGACAATGTTTGGAAACAGGTGAGTACAGGGCTGAACATAATCTGACTAATGACACAAGCTGACACGGGAAAAAACAGCGAGTGACAACGTTAATGTGGCGAACTAAACTGAACATGAACAAACTGAAATCACTAACGACCCAGGAGCCCTGACAGTACCCCCCAAAGAAAGAAGGAAAAAAATGTAAAAAATTAAAAAAAGGAACAGGGTGGGCGGAGGGAGTCCAAAACAAAACAGTTCAGGTGGGCGGCCACGCGGCCAGCGGCTGAGCCAAAGCAGTTCTGGTGGGCGGCCACTGAGCAGGTCCGGTGGTCGACCACGCCGGCGACGAGGTCTAGTCAGTGGCCTGGAAGGTGGCCGAATCCGTCGAGGACAAGGAGCCGGCGGTGACGGAGGAGCGGCTGTAGGCGACGGCTGCAGGCGCCGGCGGTGATGGAGGGGCGGCTGCGTGGGGCGGCTGCAGGAGACTGTGTGGGAGCCAGCGGGTGCGGAAACCCCTGGCTGAGGAGCTAGAGAGCTCACAGCTGGCTCTGGATGCTGTGGCTGCAGGTCAGGAAACTGAACAGGATGGTGAATGAGTGACTGGGTAGGAGACTGGACCACAGGCGGTGGGAGGATGGGTGACTGGGTAGGAGACTGGACCACAGGCGGTGGGAGGATGGGTGACTGGGTAGGAGACTGGACCACAGGCGGTGGGAGGATGGGTGACTGAGCTGCGGGCGACTGGACAGGAGGAGACTTGACTGGGCTGGAGGAGACTGGACTACAGGGGTCTGGACTGACTGGACTGGGGAGGCTAAAGGATCAGAGGTTGGTGAGGCTAATGGCTGAGCTAACGACTGAATTAGTGAAGGGGATAAAGCTGCAGCCTGGGCTAGTAAAGCTGGTGCCCGAGCAGGGGACAGGTCCGCTAGCCTAACCAGGGAAAGCGCTAGAGCATGGAAAGCTGGATCAGAAGGTGGATGAAGAGGTAGACTAGTAGGGGGAGAGGCTAGCTCTTCCGAACCTCTAGGGAGGTCAGGCTGGGTTCTGGCTGCCCTCAGCCTGGGTGCTGGGACAAGAATGGAAGGTGACTGGACGCCAGTCACACCCACCCGAGGAACACGAACGGGTGCAGGAGTGGACTGGGACGCAGCTGCCCTCCTCCTGGGAGCTGGCACAGGTTTGGGTGTAGGCTGACTGATAGGGGTGGAAATAATGACTGGGTGTGTGATACTGCCAGGTTTATCAGAGATTATTCTGGTCCTTCTGCCACCATTATTCAGTCTTTGAACAGTCCTTGGGGGAGCAGAAAAAAAAAAAACCTTCCCAGTCCACATCATCGTCCAGGAGGGAAAGCCCCCATGAATCAGAGATGAGTCTATTTTTTTAGTGAAGAGTCAGACGAAGAGTGCGAAAAACAATCACTGGAACTCACCACCGGGAGTTGCTCAAAATGGTCCATATTATGGAGGCGTGTGCGCCGCTTTCTCCGGGAAGAGGAAGCGGGCAGGGTAAACAACTGAGCCTCTGGCGCGGGAGCCTCCGTTGAGCAGAGTTGGGAGGCAGAGCAACTGTGGCATGGCGAGGTTGGAGGTCCAGTGAATAAGGTGGCGGGTGTGTGAGCGAGGAGCGGAGCGGCAAGAGAAGGAGCGGCTGAAACGCGGCGAGAAACGCCCACTCTCCGCGGCAAATGCTCCAGTGCAGGTGAGGCAGCAGGTGGGGGAACGCAGCGTCTCCGAGGCCTGCCCAGAGCCAGGCGAGTCCCCTCGAAGACATGCTCTCTCTCCGCTGTTTTTCCCTGAACTCCTCTGCCCAACGGGAAAGTGCTGCCTCCTGCCGCTCATAGAGGTCCGAGTCCGCTGGGTTCCAATCGTGTCTTCGTGGCACGGGTCGTGTCATTCTGTCAGGTTTTGTGTGGAGGCGAGGAAGAAGGAACCCAAACGCAGGACTCGCAGGTAGGTGACGCCTGGTGGTTTATTGGATTGGAAACACGGACAGCGTACACAACATCAATGACACGACAAAGACCTGGTGGAACCGAGGAACTTAAATACACAGGTTGAATGATGACAACGATTGGAAACAGGTGAGTACAGGGCTGAACATAATCTGACTAATGACACAAGAGACAAGCTGACATGGGAAAAAACAGGAAGTGAGAACATTAATGTGGCGAACTAAACTGAACATGAACAAACTGAAATCACTAAGTCAACGACCCAGGAACCCTGACAGGTAGTAAATCTGGTAAGAGTTCATTGGTCAGAGGCCCACAACTGGTCAGAGATAGAGATGAAGGAGTTTTCTTAAGTGGATCTCCAGAGCACTGGAGGCAGGGAACAAGGGAGGGAGGACAGGTTCAGTGAAATGTTACAACATAGAAAAACAAAAGCCAGATTAGGTTTGTTTTTCCTTTGTTTGTTTGTTTGTTTGTTTTTTGCCTAACAGAACTTAGTTCCACAAAATGCCGATCAAATCTTCAGGACACTTTGTGATGCCTTACAGCATTTAAATGGGGCACTTCATCATCAAATATGTTTTCAGATATTCTTTCAGCTGCACATCCATACAGTTCCCTTCCCTAAATGCTATTGCAAACTGCCTGGTAACGACACCACCGGACCACAGTCAAGTCAATCCGTGTCAACACCTGGTGGAACCTGGTGGTGTTCCATTACAAAACAAATATAGTTGAGAGAAGACAAACAGAGCCTTTCCTAATAGGTATTAGGTTGCTCTGAGTGTGGTAACTGCAGGATGGCAAAGAACTGGGTGTGCTGAGATTTGAAGGAACCTTAGCCAACTAGAGCAAGTAATCCCAGCTTGATGCTCAGATATGACCCAGACTGTACAGCAGAAGACCATGCAGGCAGAAATGCAATCAGTCCATAAAAGGTAATTTCCAGGCATCCTGTTATATCCGTACACACTGGTAATGTTTCCACCGCATTTTCAGTAGTTGTGAAAGAACAGAAACATAATAATAATACAGAATAATACGCAATCATGATGGATGGCGGATATTAAGGATATTAATCACCAGTTTTGTTGGTACCACCTCACTTCACTCCTTTCATACTTCAATAAAGAACCAGCCAAGCGTAAAATCCTGCATGGAAACTTACAGAATTAACACGTTAGGCTGTGTAGAAGTGTGGCTAGCAACAATGATCCCCTTTCACTCCAGTTTTACAAGAGTCCATACATTTTCAGTCACTCTGTTAATTTTTATTTTACAGTTTCCATTTTACTCTGCAAGAACTGGCATCAAAGTGATTTGGTTATTAATAGGTTTGCATTGTTTCTAATTTTATTACATAGAAATTAAAGTAAATTTTTAGAATAAAAGCCTAGAGTCTAACACATTATTTCAATTTCTTTGCATTTTACTTCTTTCTGGATTAAAAAAAAGCAGAAGAAATGAATGGTTAGTGGGTGGGGGGGGGATCTAAGAAATTAAACAATATGAGCTAATATAGCCTTTCCTCCCACAGCTATTTTACATATGTTTTGTCTTGTTCCACAGTTATGTAATGCAAAGTTTCAGTTTGACTCTTAACATCTAATTCACAAAGGACTCTGGCAAATGTCAAATGGTTCTGACAGAAGTTGCATTCTCAAAGCTACAATTCTGCAAAGCAACTTTGCAAAGGTGTATGCTAGTAGCACCATTAAACTATTAATTTAGAATTGTTGTCTGTCTTTTTGTCACTCTGCAGGACCATGACTACCTCAACAGCAGGAAAAGGGGGATGTCCAAGAGACTGACCAGGGACCTCCCACTTGTCAAGCTTCTTAACATTTCCATCACCATGTCCCCTTTCCTGGGGGTGGACACCACACAGTTCCACACCTCCCTTATTGATGGCACTGAGGCCTACTGGCTCAGTCTCCCTTCAGCCCCTCAGGGACAGCTGGTGAGGCATGAGAGGCACACACTATCATATTGTAAACCACTTAGTTGCGTCCACAGTAATCCACATTTGAACTTTGAACTGAGATTTATGTATTTTCATTTAGTTTGTTGTTGTGGGAGGCAGTATAAAGAACCCACCACATTTTTATTTCATGCTAAGTACAGTTTTCCCTGACAGTGAACTTTCCTCACGCTACTAAAACACTCTATTCGGTCAAACATGAAACCAGACAGAGATTTGGGGATATTTTCCTCCTGCATTGCAGACTCTCTGCATTAATCAGCTCCAGTTTGATCAAATTAAAAAAAGCAATGCAATGCAAACGCAGTAGGACTAAACCAGGAAATCTATAATTGCAGCAGCAGTTGCACTGCGGTTTATAATTAGTCAATTATCCACAGAGAAAATAATAGCAGCGTAAAATAAACACCAAGTAGAATGCAGTTGCCTCTGTCCCTCTATCCAGATCCCTGTGATGAGTCAGTGGCGAGGAAAGTTCTGTGTAAAGCTGAACATCACAAATCCAGGAGCAGTGAGCTGGTTCCTGGACAGGGTAGGAGCCCTTCAAACCCATTTAGGGATGGAGTACATCATGCTGGAAGGGGGCGAGGGGAATCTGTTTGAGGAGCAGGCACTGCGGCCACCGCAAGCTCTGGGTGGAGACAAGTACATCAGCCTGCTGGCTGACCTGGCCACCAGGATAGGAGATTCCACCATTATGACTGCAGGGACACGGTAATCTGTCAGCTAATGCACAATGACATTGCTTCCCGTAAGGCACATTTGTGTTTATTAGGACTTTTTCTGTGTCTCAGGTCCAGTTACAAGCCACTCTTTGTGAGGATGACCCCCCTGCAGTCTGATTGGAGCCCGATGGGTCTTAAGGCCATCATTCCCAACCTGTTGCACCACACTTTGCTGGGATACAACTTCCTCATTCCTGATGCAGTAGGTAATACGAGAACCTATGGGTCCCTTTTTTATCACATAGTGATATTTTTGCCTTTTTGTGAGAACTGAAAAAAGCGCTTGATTAGTGTTGCTTTGGACAAAGCTGGGAGCTGTCAGTAAAACATGGGCCTGATATAACTGCCGTGAAACATCTTAAATTGTTCATTAGATATGAGGTATGAGTTGTATCAAGATAGTTTTAGTACAATGTTATAGCCCACACTAGCTTGCAAAACACCAGTAATTAACATGAACCAGATCTAAAAGGATAAATTGATCTTTTTCCAAAATAGAGAAGCCAACGTACATCATATTGCATTGTCTTAAATCTGCAAATTAAAAAAGCCACACGAGTACCCACTGTTGAACTGTTTTTGTCTTTTCTCTGCCTCTGCACAGGTGGCTCTCTGTCTGGAGACCTGGTCACAGATGAGGAGTTGTTCATCCGCTGGCTGGAGATTGCAGCCTTTCTTCCTGTTATGAGCTTCCACACACCACCCTGGATCTTCGGGGAGGGCCAGGTATACTACCGGTCTGCCTCGTGTAGCCACCCGGCAGCAGCCTGCGTTGGGTGCCATTACAGCTGTGTCATCCACATTAGTGACAACCTAGCAGGTTCACATTCTGCTCATGACTTGCTAACCAGATTTTCGCTTGTGAAGATTTACTGTGGAGAGATCAAGTGTAGTGAGGTGTGAATGCTGCCAATTAGATGTTCTAAAAGGGGGTGGGAGATTATCCTTCCTTCCCACATGCTGCTGTTGAAAAAGGGACCTTAGAGAAGTGGTTCATTGGCCCAACAGCCAGCCCTCAATTCTGAGGGTCAAGCGCTGAGAAGTTCCCACCGATTCTTTTGCAGAGGAGCTAGAGGACTGCTGAGACCTGATCTATCAAAACTCAGATCTGACTCTCCCCTCAGCAGGAGGGGCAGGACTGAACCATGAACCTCTCCATGGGAAATGAGGAACACACTATTCACCATGCACAGCAGGAAAACAAAGCCTTAAGTCTCTGATGACAGGTATTGATGCTTTTGACAATGTGTTACCAGAGCTCAGGTTCCTGAACAAAAAACGCTTTATGCTCCTGCAGAGGAAGAAGGGTAATGCCCTCCCTAACCCCCTTCCCCTCCCGCCTTTCCTCATCTCATTCACCTGTGGTTACGAGTCCATCTGGTCTGAATTACAATCCCTATTCTAGATTTATGGCTCGCTCTCACTGTCAAGGGCCACTTCAGCAGGAATGATAATGAATTTGAGGACAAGTCTTGGAAAAATACTTTATTGTGGCAATTAAGATTTCCATGAGTAATTGACAAGTGTGACAGAGTGGGAGTGATCAAATGAATTTTTTCCACTAGGAGGGAGCTAAAGCAGCAAAATATATTAGTTGTGACTTGTGTTGTGTGACAAAGATAAAAATAGGCCTTTTTGGACGGCGAGGCATTTGACAGCAGCAATGTTTTCCATTTTGGTCTCTTGCATGGTCTTCAGTTCATAAACCCAGATGAAGTGAGAGCGGGGAGATATTTTAGTGGAGATAGACTGTTGCATTGCCCATGATAAATGACTCTTTTATAGACATTTTTACTACAGTTTTAAATGTGGTGCACCTTTATTTCCAGAATGTGTGAGACTGCAGTCGGTCACAGACAGGTCACAGCAGCAAATACGTTGGAATCGAATAGCAGCAAAACCTCAAAGCCACACACATGCCTGGCTTCTCAATTAGGGAAAGATTCACTCAAACCAGTGGCTCATTCCTACAAATGGTCTCAATCCCAAGTCATAAAAATACATTTTTTTATAGAGGCGGTCAAGTTTTGTTTTTGTCGTGAGACTCTGAAGAGGATGTGACCCTTCCAGAAATGCTGAAGTCGTTTGGGCAAAGGGAGACAGCACAAAGGCTTTGGCAGAGTTAAACCCACTAAGTCAACAATGAGTGACTGTTGAGTTGAGTCTGCGTGTAGAGATGGCACAAATGTCCTTAGCAGACCTCACTGTCAATATTTTTCTTGTACTGAAATCCTTGCGGTGGATGATTTAGTTTAGGAAAGGGCTGGTCACTGGTTTCAGTTACTCTGTTGATCCAGATTTCTTGAAAATAGATTCTTTGGATGAACGATGTGAAAAAGGCCTAAGTGGTTCTGAATGAAAATACTGCCCAAGAAAAAGGCAACGATGGATTTTAATTCGATTGTTATAATCCTAATTGTTTTCTTTTGTTTTTTCTTTTTCCTGTAATCCACAATAATGTTCGTTCTCGTGTCTCAAATGGTAATCCATAGGTGCTAAACCTAACTCGGAACTACCTAACAAGGCACCAGAGGGATGTGGCACCGCTGATTGAAAAGTATGCAGAGGAGTGGCAGGTGACGGGAAACCCCATCTATCGCCCAATGTGGTGGCTCAATCCAACTGACTCCATGACCTTTACCATCAATGACCAGTTCCTCATTGGAGATGAGGTCAGTTAATGGAGTTCTGATGATGTGGGATCTAATGCACTTGGCATGTTTTAGCAACTTCAGCCGTATCCTGATGTCACGCATGTGCAATCTCCCTTATACGTATTTATTTTCAGGTCTTAGTGGCACCCGTGGTGGAGAAGGGGGCAGTGCAGAGGGATATATATTTACCTGACGGGGGCTTTCAATGGCAGGACAGTCAGAACGCACGGGTGTTTGACGGGGGGACGTTCTTGCACGACTACCCTGTCCCCCTGACGGAGGTGGCTGTTTTCTTACGGAGAAGCTGACTCGGATGACTGTCCCACAGAGTCACGTGATCTATCCTGTTACTGTTTTGAATCAAATTCTTTTTTTAGGTACTTGTGCTGTTCTTAACTTGCACTTTTCTACTAAAGACCATTGATCCTGCCTCAAGTGCTGCCTTGAGACGATTTGTAGAAATATATACATATATGTATATACATGTTTTTTTTTATACTTGCACTTTATGGTTCAAAATATTTTTTTCCTTTATGTTATTTGTCTTCTTTTCATTTGTTTTTTTTTTATGCTGAATGGTTTTACCTCTTAGTGATTTGTTTCTGGACTTTTTCATCCACTCTGCTGCTTTTTTTGTTTGTTTGTTTGTTTGTTTTCTTTTTTTTAATGGTTCTGGAGAAGTATGTGTGTTTACATACTGCATTTCTACAGTCTTTAAATTTGTAGCTGCTGTTGGCTCTCTTCATAAGGAGGAACAAAGCAAGCTCCTTGTTTGCTTAAAAGTATCTGAATTTCTCAAGAAGACCAAATGAAGATGCTGAAAGACAAGGAAGGCGGTTAAAAGGGCCTTTTGAGAGAAACACTTACTGGCGGGAAATTAACACAGGAAGCTACATACAAGCACCATGGTACCATATGTCTTGCTCACTCTATGGAAAGGCTCTTACTTGAACTCATCAGGCCAAAGGGCCGATGTTTTATGAAAGATGAATGTACCTCAAGTAACGTATATGAATTGCTTTACAAAGTCATTAGACACAACAGCCTATCACCCCATAGTGCATATTCTTAGAATAGTTAAGTCATAGACATCCATGAATGTCCCTTTGTACTGTATGCTGATGAACTTGAGGCCAAGCCACTTTCATCGTAACTTTGCATATATTTAAATTATAGATTAGAGTTTAACCTGCTGTATCAAGCGCTTTTAAGTGAGTGCCTCTTTCTTTACTGACTGTTGATGTGTTCTTACATGTGAGCCGAATTAAGTTGTAAAGACAACCTTGCTGATGACACCACATGGGTGAAAAGGAGATTTTGTATAAATACATGTAATCAGTCCCTTTTTATCTGATAATCTGACTGTGATAATACTCCCATTCATGAGTATGAATCCACCAGCAGCAGCCGTGAGGCTCAGTGAAAGACTTTGGACCAGGTATAAAGATAGTTTGGTCCAAAAGATGCAAAATCTGACTTCCAATTGTGCTAAAAATCACTCTTTTGGAGATTTCTCATTTGTCTATTCTGTACAAAAACCGAAATGGAAAAACAAAAAGTATTTTTGTTATTTCTTAAGCCTATTTTACTGAAACCGGTAAATTTATTTTCCAATTTCTATGCAAACGTTGAGTGTCTTCAGTTTATAATTACTTGATAGGGACATATGATCGATGTGTCATATGATGGTACTTTTCTACCTACTACTACTCTCACCATAAAAATAAAGTACAAAATTTATATTTCTCCAAATGTTGAGCCACATCAAATAAATACAATGCTCTCAGTTGTAAGCATACCATGTTTGCATATGAGAAATTGGCTTTTTGGAGAGAAACAAAGTATTTGTGAAGGATTCACCTGAAATTGCTGGAATTGTTGAAAGCACAGATGTGCAGAGGCCCACCTGACATAAACCTTCATGAGTAATTCAGCTTCTCTCCTCATGTGTACCATTACATAGCCTACTCTCTGGACTATCTTTACACTTCTATCACTTTCTTAAGTTTAGCTGTTTACTTGTAAAAGCTGTTTGAACCCAGACTTAATGCTCTAAGCAAATGAAATGTAAATGAGACTGATTCTACTTTTTGATTATGTTTAAAATCAGTCCAAGAAGAGACGTAATCTTTATACCCTGAAGCTCGGCTCTTTATAGTCAACTGTCAGTGTTGCTTTTTTTTTTTAAATCAATTTGTTCCATAAAGGAAAATCTTAAATGGCAAACAGTGAGGATACAAACTCTGGAAACTTAACATTTATCTCAACTAAATTGATTGTGTAACTTTGATCTAAAAAGTTTACTGTATCAGCTCAAACACTCAGGTCTAATGAAGTTTCCTATCAGATCACCGGATGTCTTAGTGCAACGCAGTATGTTGTGAACACATTAACGTCTTAATCTCTCCTGGGGCAGAATGTACAATGGACACACTGTGATTTCCCATAGCCCTTCATGTGAGGAGCTTTTCTTTTTCCCATTATATAATGCTGTTATGGAATGCTTTGGTAGGTTAATGTAGGAGTTGCAGGAAAAGCTTTGTTGTGTTATTCCTTCCCTCTACAGACTGAGTGAGCCATGTGCCTTAATATGCCACAAATCTGGACGACACAGGTGTCTAGATTATTGCAGTATCAGCAATGACCGTAATACAATGACTGTGCCATTACAAGTGTTTTTCTCTCTTCTGTAAATCAGATAACATAGAATGACAAAGTTGCAATAAAGTTTACATTTTCTTACTTAACTCATCAAGTTTGCATTTACTTCATGACATACTGGAGGCCACATTCAAGTGGAGCTGCCAGATTTTAATTATTATTACTTCAGAATTTTTAGTTCAAATAGTTTTTCTGTCTCCATGCTGGTTTGTGTTTGACTGTGCAGGCAGTGGCAATCTGCAGTTACACCAATCAGGCGCAACATTATGACTACTAACAGGTGAAGTTAATAACACTGATTGTCTCTTCATCATGGCACCTGTTAGGGATATAAGCAAGTGAACAATTTGTCCTCAAAGAAGAAGCAGGAAGACTTGTCCAACTTGTGATGGAAAATTGCAGTGCTTCTTGGGTGTTCCTGGTCTGTAGTGATCAGTATCAATGAAAAGTGGTCCAAGGAAGCAACAGCAGTGAACTAGTGACAGGTAAGTGGACACGGAGCCCATACTGACCCCTGTCCACCGCTGAAAACGCCTACAATGTGAGCATCAACTGGACCCAAAGCAATGGAATAAGGGGGTGTGGACTAACAAATCACATTATGAAATGCTTTGGTAGGGTTCATGTAGGAGTTGCATCACATGATCAGCCAGTTATGGGTGCATCGCATACCTGGGCGATACACGGCACCAGGATGCACTATGGAAACTGTGGCAGTGTGATACTCTTCTAGAAAACCTTGCGTCATGGCATCTATGTGGATGTTACTTTGACACACGTTCTTTGACAAGATCACAACAATGACTTTGTGACCCAAATTTCCTATAGTTCAACCCAGTGGCTGGACAAACAAGTCCAATCTATGGAGGCCCCAAATTGCAACTTACAGGGCTTAAAGGTGCAAGATACAAGATACCACGCACATCAACTCCAAGGGTCAAGTGGACACCATGCCTCAATAGGTCAGGGCTGTTTTGAAACAAAAGATAAAACAACATCATTTTAGGATAGTGGTCAATAGATTGTTTTTTGTTTGTTTACATGCCAGGGATACTGGGGCATGCTTCAAAACCACAATTAAACATAACAATAATAAATATGTAAAATGAACACATTTTTAATTTCAGAATTCAAATTTATTATTTTTAACAAATATCCTTGTCATCTTGCATACATGTAATCTTATGCTAAGCCCTGATATTAACCCTTTACCCTCTTTCTTCTCCCCATGCCAGCAGGTCTATGTCTATATCTGTGAGCAGATACTGACAAATAACATCTGCGCTAATTCCACGTAAACCTAATAAAAGTTATTTATAACCTTGGCGAGTAGGCGGTGGAAGAGATTCTCAGGGGACTCACATTCAGCCCAGCCTCCGCTGAGCTCCGTTTCCTTACCTTCCTCTCTTGCTGCCACTTGGCTGAGCTCCACCTTGGGGCCCCAGTCCCGGCTCCTTTAGTGCAGTTAGACAGGTGCAGCTGAATGGAGACATTCAGAGTCCCTCCAAGCCGGCCACCGAACTCACCATCTCCGTTTACACCCGCACTTTAAACACTCAGATTCATGTGGCACTTTTTAAAGTCTGGGTGCAGTTCTCAGCCAGATTAAAATTCACAAGACGTATTAGTATGGCTCCATGGTTTGTGAGGTGATGAAGATGCAGTGTTAGAGACTTGAGAAGACTCTCCTCCAAGGGACAGCAGAGGTTACAGAGTTAATTTCTTTGCTAAACCTTAAAGGAACTTTAATATAAAGTTCCTTATTTTCAGTTACTAGACAGTTGTTTCAAGAATTCAAGTTGTGTGTACAATAAATCAATTTCATATATGTTCAATATTGATCCGTCATTCTAAACAGTGGATTTCCCACCGTCAATTCCAGTTTAATGCTAATTCACAGAACAATAGTACAGATCCTGCCAGAAATCCTGTGGTCAAAGACATCCACCCTTAAACTAACATTTAGCAGGAGGTCCAATTATTTATTTTTCCTTGGTCAGTGAATCAACATTTAACATTCAACCCAATTAGTTTGGGGCATAACCAAGCCTTATGTAAGTTGTTGAGCAGTGCAGGAAAAACAAATTGTCCTGCCAAAAACCCAAATCATGAATGACACGAATGATCTACATACGGTAGCAGCAATTAGAACAATGTTATTCTCTACTGTTAACAACTGCCAGTGATTACCGCCAGACAAAATGGAATCATCTCTACCCCTGCATGCATAAATAGCTTATAAAACAGGATAGGCAACGCTGGCTCCCCTCTTTTCTTTGAGGGTGTTTTGGCGCAAGTGGCACATGGTGACAAGCAGAGGCCACAGATCTTTCTCAAAGTCTACTTTTAGAAAGTGCAAGTCAAGGTTTTAGGTGTCAGTGTCTGTTCCCGAGTGAATGGCTTTTCCATCTTGCCAATTAGGTAAGCCAGCAGTTAAAGCTTCATGGTTTTGTAATCGATTGAGTGAGGGTCTTGTATTTTGAGCAGAGAAGAAAGTCCTTCTTTCATTTGTTAGAATACTAATCAGATGTTCCTTTATGCACAGGAAGTCTGCACAGACTTTATGCTTTTAAAAAACACTTTTGAAAAAGACAAAGAAGTGGCTTTGAAAGCGAAATCTTTTTTTTTTTAAGGCAGGTGCACAGAGAAAGAAAACCGTCATGTGTAATGACTTCTTGCCTGCCCCTCTTTGGAAATCTGTCACCATGCAATGCCTTTAAATGTCTTCAATTTAATTTAGGTTAATTGTTGAATGCACCCTGAACAGTCTTAGTGGAGGGACTTATTAATACCCTCAGAGACGGAACTGATTCCTGGGTGCCATCCACTTGAGCTCAACCACCTGTCCAGATGGCAGGCTAATGCCATCACCCAGCTTCCTTTTTATTAAGTAAACACTAAGCTAAGGAAGGAAAGATCTCATTTTCACACCAGACCAGTTTCAAGAGGTTTACAAATTGTCAGAACTAAGAAAAGCTGATAAACATAGCTATGACCTTTAGATGCAGATGGGGGTGAGACGGTTGCAGTTAAAGTAAAATGCAAACAAGGGATAAACACTCGTCATGGTGCAAAGTACATGACCTTTGGGCTTAGGGGGATTTTGAAATAGGTTACAAATATATCACTTTAGGAACACATACACTTTTATGACTTTATTTATCCATGGTCGCTGGAGGATAAAACACAATAACTTTTGGAAATCCCTGAATATGATAACTATTTTTAATTAGTAGTAGTAGCTTTGATGCACTGCACTTTCTGTGACCGGTTTCCTCGTTCCAGCAACTTCCAGGAACCGACCTCACCAACCAGCTGAGGAATACACATTTTTCCTGCACTACTAGTGGTGTATGATGTCCAGTATAGAAGACAAGTAAGTAAAACCTTTATGAATGTGTACAGGGTTTACCTCAAAGTACTGCTATGTTTTAGTGCTGTCTAATGGGAGAATTAAAACATTAGCGCTGTTACAGTAATAACAGTAAATATTGATACACTGTATCAAATATGCTCAGAATTTTAATATAGAAATTTAAAAATATAGAAAGTATTTTTCCCACCTGAGTGGGGGAAAAAAATACTTGCTAAAAATTGGCCTACATTTGAATGTGCTTTTCAATTCGATTTACTGTGATCATGCAGTAAACGTTCTTTAGATAAGATGCTTTGTGCCACACTAAGCCTCTAGATTCATTAGTTTCATTAATAAGTAGTACTGGAACAGGTATACCGAATAAAGTGACCCGTGACCGTATGTAGCTGAGTTATTTACAAAGTAAATTACACACAACTTCAGAGAGCAACCAACAATAGCGCTCACACTACAAAAAGACTAAACACTGAAAGAAAAGCTAAACTAAAATGAGCAAATCTACTCCAAAAACTCCTTAAAGCTAAATTATGCTGAGGAATAAATACACAAAAATTATTAGTCTTTATTTTACTTGATTCTAAAAACTGATGCCATGTCTTTGGCCATAAATCGAACAATTCCAATGACTGTTTCGCAGCCTCCACAGTGGCTGTGTGGTGAGTAAAATGTTTTTCTTTGGAGAGATATGTATTAAGTATTAAAAAGGGACACCTCAGAGGTGATGCAGCCATCTGACATTTACTTTATTGTTCAAACATAATTTGGTATATCAGCTGCTTGTCTTTTAACAATTCTTTAAATTAAAGGCAAACATATACAGCTTCATCTTCAAAAACATGCAGCAGTGTAAACATGAGGTCTAGATAAAACTAGTCTGGGATAACAAAACTGTCATGACAAAAGAAAAGGAAGCATTTTGTCCATGTTTTTTCTTAAACCAGCAAAACCTTAACTTAGGGGTCGTCATTTGTGACGATCCGCTGTCAAATAACCAAGATGTGTTAAAATACAGAAGCTAAAACCTGAAAAAATAAATATGATGGACTGACAACATATACATTATTTAAAAAATGCATTCCTATACATGACTAGAAACTTGCATTTCTTAAAAAATAGCTGAAGAGAAGAAATGATATCCAACTTTACTGAAAAGACCAAAAAACCGACTATGTGATTTTCTTGACTTAAAAACAACAGCTGCAACACTGCTTTGATATAACCAACAATCCGATTGCTCATAAAAGTTTACAGAATTTTTTTTGAGGTGACAAAAGGCTGTACGGGTAGTCTGGAGTTCCTAGGTTTGAACGATAGGGTCAGAGATGGAGTGCGCAACAGAGCTAAAGTACAGTTAATTGGCGATTTCCCCCCTCACAAAAGAAGTAAAGTCACTGTTGACCTCACGCTGTCAGATTCAATCCAGACGCACACCTCCCTGTCTTACGAACTCTCACTTCAACAGCAAACTTCACGCTATGCTATCTACCATCTCACTGGAATCACATTGGCATTGTACTGCATTTCAACGTCTAGTGTTGCACATTTACATGTTAGCAAAAGCACTCGTTTTCAGTGTTGTAGCCAGCACCCTAGGACACTAGGCCAAGTTAGCAAAACCTGAGTATGAAAACAACGAACAAGAAAAAAATCATGTCATAGAAGCCAAACCTGAACAAAAACACTGGCTGTGCACTTGGAATAAGAAAAGACAGTAGCAACGTGTTGATATTCAACATTACAGTGATGTTAGGCTCGCTACTCTGATCCAAGCTGAATGTTTATAACTTTTGCAATCACAGACACCTTACTTTACTCCTGTCTGTGTGAAATTACTGGGTATAGCTGCTAAACGTTCAGAATCATCCTCTCTTTAAACCTCACTTTATGAAATAATGGAGAGCACACACAGCATGCAAATTTAATGAAATTCAACATCAAGTTTGCTGCTTTGGTCAGTGCTTCAGGAGCTGCAACTGCAAGACATTAAAGAAACTTAAGGACAAAGCTAATGCATTGGATGGGAACAGAAATAAAGATATTGCACCATCATGCAACTTAAAATGCAATTCAAGTATTTGATGATGCCACTGAACAAGCCTTTAGCTGAAATATGTTAATGCAGATTTGATCTCAGACGCCCTTTCTGCCCTTTTTACATTAGTGGGTCAGTAAGGCACCGGTATGTACAGTCTTGTGAAAAAAAACCAAAACCAACTTTGATCTGTGCATTACCTGTACCCAACACCACCGGTTACTCGCTACGCCTAAATATACAGCTTACATAAGTGCCTTACAAACGTATTAACGATAATGCTTCCTTTCAATCATCCTTATTTTTGTAACATCAATTAACATAAATATAACTTCTAAACCAACAAGTGACTCTGTACAACCTTTTTTTGAATATATGTTACTCATAGCCTTCCACCAGCAAAGACAGCCATCACTTGGCAGCTTTGTTGTTGAGCTCAAAGAGACCCAGGATGTCCAGCATGGCCTGTCTGATGTTGGTCCCAAAACGATGTGAGTCCTAAAAAAACAAAAGAAGAAAGAAATGCAAGAAGATTCCAGTAAGCTTTTTCATTTAAAATGGCCATTAAAGAAGGAAAAAAATGGAAAATTAGTGAACTTACAGTTTCTGGGCTTGAGTGTTTGCTGGAGATGTGGAAGTTGATGTGGTTCTCACCAAGAATGATGTAGGAGATGCCATAACCATCATCAGCCACCTTGTGGGTAAAGAAAGCGAGAGAGTAGACTCTGAGCTTATCCCATACACAGTAATACATTTTTATTGCTTTAATATTTCAACTTTTTTTTCTAATTTAAGGATTATACAACCTTATGTGTTTTGTTGCAGGAAAACTAACACAAACAGCTGTTAAAGACACTGTGAAAGCTGATGGACAACTTACTGGACCAAAACCACCTCCAGAGGACACATATTCTGGGTGTCTGACCAGATCGAACAGCTCAACCTGCTGCAGAGGAGTCTGGCTGGTGGAAAGCTTCCATGGCTCAGACAGGACCTAAATGTAAAGATTTATGAAATCCACAGATTAAGACACATTATTGTATTGGTCGTTCGCTCGTAACTTTTTTCTATGTATGAAAAAGTTTATAAGAGCAATTATGGGCATTATTCGAGTACCTGTAACACACAAAACTTGTGAAAAGAAGCTCATACCTCCTTCAGGAAGGGTGAATCCTCTCCGAGGTATTTGGAAACCACATAGAGGCAGAAAAGGTGGCGATCGATGCCCTGTCCTGTCATTGCCAAACGGTACAAGTTTTGGTGTTTTTCTGCCGCCAGCTTGAGCAACCTGAGACGCTCTTCTCTCTGTAGAAAGAAATACGAAAGGAACAGAAGTGAAATATGACAAATGGTTTAATAACACAATAACAATAATAAAGTGAAAAAACAATAAGTAAAAAAAATCGGTAGCACATAATTGAAAGGAGGGGACTTACTGTCTCATCTCCGACCATGGCACGAACAAAGGTACAAGTCTCCATGGTGCAGGAGCGCACCGTTTCTGTTCGACCTTCCCTGAACATACGAGTCATGGAGGCTTCATAAGTCAGGCAAAACTTCCCTTTGTCCTGTTGAGAGAGTAGAATTACATTTAATTAAATCACGATTAAAAAGAGAAAACATTTTATGTAAATATATTTTTTTTATGCATTAACAGTAGAAATGATTACAAAGGCCTGCGGCTTTTAGGAGGTTTATGTATTATTATTAGATATTAATTAAAATGGTGTGACCAATTAAGAAACATACCACAACTAACGTGCAACACCAATGTTTTGTGTCATATTATTAATTAAAGTGCAACATGAATAATTAAAAATAAAAGTTTTAATTCGCTATTAAATCCACTAAACACTGCTTGACTGCCTACAAATCTATGCTGGCCAGCTAGTTGTGACTGCCCTCTGCTGGAACTTAATTTAATTGCATGCGGCTGGAAAGCGCTGGCTTCTGAGAAGTTACATCTACACTTTTAAATATGAGATTGATTTTATAATATTTTCTGTAATATATATATTTAAAAAAAACTTATTTCAGATAAGGATATGAACAGGAAAAAAAAAATGGTAGGATGCGGGAACTTACTCTGTAATGGGCCAGCTGCAGGGCAATCTGGATGAAGGCATCAGGACTGGTGCGGCATTTCTTAATCAGCCCCTTTCCAAAGTCAGTGAAGGGGATAATGTGACAGTCCACGTCATCTGCCAGAGCTTTGGCTACTGTCAAAGAACTCTCGATGGTCTCCTGGCACTAGAGGAATAAAGGGAACATAACTGTATGTTTTACTCAGACAAAAATATCTATTTATATATATGCATTTTATGAAGAAACGTCAAGATGATTAAATTATTAGATTAGTTTTAGAAGCCATTTAAATCCAAAAAATAACATCCAATAAACAAACATCTATATAGTTAATTAAATCCACTCTGGTGTACTTATCTTATGCTTCCACAAGAGGGAATCCAAGTTCTGCTAATATAAAATTATGGTGTAAACTAAGTAAAAGATTTTCTACCTCAGCAGGGATGGTCCACTGCAGCCTTTGAGGGCCGGGCAGGTTAGGATGGGGCTTCCCAACACAGTGACCATCTTCAGTGTATCCCAGCTTTGGATCCATGGAAAGTACATGCTGCAAGAGAGTCAACACTTTAACTCATCTCACTCAAAAGTTTCTGCTGTTTTGCTTGCAATGTCTTCTTGCAATTTTGCTTCTGTACACCACCACGTACACTAATTTTAAATTAAAAATCCTTTTTAACACTTGGATTTAAAAAAAAAAAACATCAGTAAATAACTGAATGAGTTACTGAGTCACTTAAGATGCTGTGTTAGGCATTTACTGCAGCAGTAACCTTCAGATGCGGCTTGCATGCTTAAAAGCACGCTCTATTAAGTTGAGATCTACGGCCTGAGATCTACGGTAGTTCACTTCTTGCAGGGTATATTGCCATGGTAACTTATGCTGTGAACTGTTCCAGACCAGCAGGTATGAAATCACCAGAAAATAGCGTCACCATTCCTAGAAGTCTCTTGGACAGTGCGGGGAGTGTAGGAGGGTCTAAAGTGTTTCAGTAGTGTCTAAAGTCTGTTTCCCTGGTGAGCATCAGTAATAAATTCAGAAGCAGCTTTGTTGGCCACAGTTTTGCAATAGTAATTTGTTTTTCTATAACATATGATCCTAAAAAGGGACTTATCAAATTTGCATGTAAACTAAGCCTATGTTTGAATTTTGTTTTCATATTCAAACTTTACTGCCAAACGTCACTGCAGTCTGCAGAGACTCTTATTCTTTTATTCACAGCATGTTTAAGTGTGATATAGATTCTCTGCTGGGGATATATATTATATATATGCAGCTTGTGAAATCTTAATAAAACTTCTGAACAAAGCACAAACTGTGCGTCACATTGTCACAGGAATGTCCATGCATTAATCTGTTGATTTAGAAAACGTTCTTCTGCTTCATTCTAATCTGCTGCCAAGTCTCTTTTACACTACTGGAATTGCAGCTATTGTAGTAAGTTTGTAGGTGACACTCGCAGGGATCATTTTCTGTAGAAGAATAATCATATGATGACTCTTAGATTGGTTAGATGCTGCCAGCAGCACCGCAAGCTGATAACCAGCTTCATGTGAATGCTTATCCTGATTGCCAAGGCTTAGAGTAAGTGAATCCAGATAACAGAAAGGTATCCTGGGCATGCTGAATTCAGCAGTCAGGTAACCCTGTTCCACTGGCTGCCATACATGTCCATCATAACCTGTTTCTCTCTTTCTCCATACTTCCCATTCTTCCCATCATTCTGGTACAAGTTAAGCTCGGTTTCATCTGTCTACATTTTTTTTCCAGAAATGTGCAGGTCCTTTAGATGTTTTATGACGTATAAGTATAACTTGACCTTGTTCTTAAGTATAACAAGTGCACTTTTTGCAAATCCTCTGCATTTACCTTCATGAAGGCATCTTTAGATGGTAGATTTTAACAATAACACGCCTACCTCCTGACTTGGCTGTACTGGTTGTCTTTAGTAGTCGTCCAGGTGTTTTGGTGTTGCTCACCAGTAAATTACTTATTTACTAAGACATGAATGCATCAGACTGTTGGTTTGGTTACTTTTAAAGTTTTTGCTCGGATTCTTTTGATCTGTAGTGGTGCAGAGTTAAAATGACAAAACTTGTGCCTAAATATTTACGGCTTTAACTATATAATATTTCTCGTGATATTACGAGATACCGTATTTACTTTTTTCCACAAAACCAGTGACTTACCTCCCACAGATGGCCAACAATCGGAGCATCTGCCCAGGAATGCTCTGCATTCAGTCCCATCGTACCATTCTTGTAAACTATCATATTAAAGGACTTATCAAACCACCTGAAGGGTTACAAAATATTATTAGGTTAATTTGCAAACAGGTTAATGCCACAAACCTACTGAAAATTGGCCATAAAATCTATAAAGTTTATCTCCACCTGTCGTAGCATTTTCCATGGAGCAGGGACTTGGCATAAATGTCCAGAGACTTGACTGGGTTTTTTGCATCGTAGCGCTGCTCTGTATCATCGAGGGTGAGGAAGAAGGCTGCCTTTTCTACAGCATCCAGAGACTGCTTGTTCTTTCCACGGCTGAAGAACATCTCACGGGCCTTTGCCCACGGTGTCCTAACAAGGTAAAAACAAAAAATATGTTCAAAAAGTAAAGCATAGACATAACTGCATGAGTGTAAAATATGTTCTTTTAATCTTTCTAACAGAAAGCATATAAAAGCTGGAGCTAAGTGTCATTTTACATAAATACGCGTACATTTTTCTTTGTCAGTATGAGAAAACTGTGAGCCGTCAACACCACACTCTTTATTACTCCGTAAAAATGTATTTTACTAAGCTTTTAGAAAATGCTTGTGAAATCGCTTTTCATTTAATTGCTTTTTAATTACAGCTGCACTTCAAACAAAACAAGTTAGTGGTTAATCTTGTTGCCATGCTTGAAATATGATACATGCCCAGGCCCATATTATTAGCCTATTTTAACATGACTTTGATGTCTCTTTGATTTCAGGTTTATTTTCTTTATTTCAAATACCAATTTGCAATCACATTTTTAATTTCTTAAAATATATCTTTCAAAATAAAGTTTAAGTTCTACCAGGAGTTTTTGAAGAATACCAAACTCACTGATTCAGCCTATGATCACTGTAAATGTCCACGCATTGCCTGCATTGCTGTACTTCCTGTCATGCTACAGATTAAAAAGTAAAATTGTGTGGCCTCATCAATCCTGGCTCCAGCTTATTCTGCAATGATACCCACCTATCCCCTGCAGTGAGTGCTGCTAGTCTCTCCTCTCCTGGCAAGGGCTCCGACTTGTCTGCCAAGATCCTCTCCATCTGCTGCTCGATCTCCCGTGGCAACAGCAGCCGGCCATCATAAAACATCCACACCTTGAAGTAACGTCCCTTATGGTACACAACTATGTGTTTGCTCTCATTCACGTGCTGAAGGGTGTCTAGTGGAGAAAGAACAATGACAGGAAGAGAGAAAACAGGAAAACAAGAAAGACAGATGAAGAAAATCTGTGGTTGTGGGGGAGAAGGGTATATTTATATTTGTACATGTGTTGTGTTTTTTCTTTTTAAATAAAATAACTTGCATACCACACATCATGTGGGTGACTTGTGTGTATAATCAGAAATGCATGTTGTTTAATGCCAACATCTTTGTGAAAAAGGAGAAATAATTATAGAAATATCAAATATCAAGTGGATGTTGCATTATTTTATTTCTGGTAGCAATACAGATGTTAGTAAACAGTAATTTGCTCCAGAAGTAAAAAGATGTGATATCCAGTTTTCTTTTAAAAGAAAAACATAATTCATTTACACAAT